AGCGGCAGCATCATCAGAAGTAGCAGCATCAGAAGCAGCAGCATCAGCAGGCGGCTTTAGAATAAGGCAAAGCACCGTGAAGGGAAAAGGAAGTAGGGGCGAAAAAACTAAAAGGAAAATAGAGAATAGAGATGGTTCATCTGCACAAAATGTGGGGCCCGTTTTCTGCATCTGAACTGCACTTATAATAGTTTCTTTGTTTCAAGAAAATTTCAATGGTAAATTAATGCTATCATATCATGGGACGTTTTCAATGCAATGCGGAAATGATATGAAATTTTCTATTGACATACATGATAAAACTAATTTTCGGGTAAATTCCCGCAATTAAAAAAACAAAAACAAAACAATTTTTCTGGGCGTGGACAGCAAAGCAAGCCCTTTTAAGTTTTAAAGGAAGAAAAAAATTCTAAATACAGGGGCTCATGTTCTCCGCGCAGCGCTCATTGCCACGGCAGCTCCTGGCCGTACGTACCCCGTTGCGCCGGTCGGGCCCACCCTCCGGCCTTTGCGAGCAGGCTGCGATGAACCACGATAAGTTCATTCGACGAACGTCAAGGCCACCCACTGGCGCTAGTTAGTTGTTCGCTTGCTGAGCACAGACTGTGGTGGCCGGGAGTAAACGTGTCGGCAACAGGTCAAAAAAAGGGTAAAACAAAACTAAAAATGTTCCGAAAGACACTGGCTCTGCGGCGGACAACCCAAACAGCCGTTATAACAGCCTGACGCTGATGGCCGCTGCTGCTGTTGTTCGCAGGAAAAATAAAAGTACCTTGCGCGTTGGTGTGTGCAGGTTTTTCTAGTTATTCAACCCGAGAGGTTCAATTTTGTGTTAGTGGAACTGTCATCGCGGGTCGGGGCGCATTCGCGTCAGCAAACTTGCCTTCCACCCCTCGCCCCCGTGCACACGACTTTTCAATTTCCACGTGCATGAGCGTGTGCTGCTGGTTCATTTCCGGTCTACTTGACTCAGATTGCGGAAGGTGGGTGTACGATGTGTGTGTCTCTGTATGGTGGCCGGTTACATTCGCCGTGTGTGCCGCCGGGAGAATTTTGACGGCGGGGCCCCGATTCAGACTTTCTCTTTCTCTCTCTCTCTCTCTCTCTCTCTCTCTCTCTCTCTCTCTCTCTCTCTCTCCCTCTCCCTCTCTCACACACACACAGTGGTTCGTACGGCTGCAGCGCGCCTCCACACAGGGGCCAATCATGGAGGTCCTGGCTACGCTGAGGGGGGAGGGAATGGGGGGTTGCAAAGCCCTATCTGCGCCGTGACGGGAATCGACGAGAATAGCTCTCCTCCCCCCCCTCCCCCAACTGATCCGCAGCCACACGTCCAGTGTCACATTTCGTGTCAAACGATGGGAGGATGAAATTCCGGCAGCTGCTGCTGCTGCTGCCGCTGCCCGACAGTGCCGCTCTGTTCGATACAGCGCGCGGGGAGGCGGCCGGTATGGCCGCGCGGCGGGAGTGAGAGAGGGAGTCCATGAGGACGCTCGTTAGCAAGCATTGTGGGCGGGCGCGGTGCATCCCTGTGTCGGCGGACGAGCAGTTTAGTCACCCTCCTCGGCCCGTCGCGTATACCGCCGCGGCGATGAGCGACGCTGGCAAAACTCACCTTTGCACGAGTGCGAAATACGTTTCGACTTTCATTTCTATGTAGAGAAAGCCGCACAGGTGCTAGAAACAATGGGTGATTATGTGCATCTCTAGCAGTTTAAATTCAATTCGTTACCACTAGCCATAAGCGACCAACGGCTCTGTTTTTCTAGTGGGTCCGCATGGTCTCATGCATACTCGCGTGCGGGTGGCGAGGCGTCCGACACAACAACAAAACCGGGGCAGACAGTCCGTCTGGGATGGGTGGCAGGGCGTGGCCTGGCGCTGCGGGCGAGGGTAGTAGGTGGGGGGGGGGGGGGTGAAAGGCCACGCTCCTTGACGCTATTGTGCTGTCGTCGGGCGCTCTCCTTTCCGACGCATTCTAATGGAATCAAAAACAAACTGAAATAAAATGGAATCGGGTGATCGGGCGATTGTAATGTAATAGGCCTTACCACTTTCTTCACAATATTGGTACAATTCAAAGTAAATCCCCAGCATTTATGATGGTCGTCTGCTTAGAAGAAAGTAAATTTATGGATATGCGGTTCGTTCGTTAGGCCTACAGGAAAAAACCGCAAAGCATAAGCAAGCGTGGTAGAACGTTTTTTTAGAACTCGAGAACGAAACGGAAGGTGCTCCTATTCTGTTACCCATTTTCTTTTCCAGTAAACTATTGATTATTGATTTTTTGGCTTTTTTTCTCTAATTTTTAATGGCATTGTTCATGGAAACGTTCCCTTGATAAAGTAAATAGCAGTATAACCGAATAGCGAACAACGCTACAGGCTGCCTAGAGCGCTGCTCGTACCCTGGGTCGCACCCACCCTCTTCCCAGACAGTTCTTTAAGCACCACCCCGAGTTTTGAAAGCACCGCGCGACGTGACACGGCGGGCGACGCGCGCTGCCCGACTGTGTCTGTGCCGGCCTTGCTTATGCGTCCCGACGTGGAAAACAGGGGTGACAAGTCAGAGACCCACCTCCCCGAGTATAAAAGCATCTCGTCTCTCTGCCGACGAGAAAGAATAAAGTATTCCAGGTCACAGCAAGGCAGGTCCGCGAGGGGCCCGGCCCGCTCCGCGTGGGCGCCGTGAGCAGATGAACGGGCGAGCAAAAGAGAATCCCTCCGCCAGAGGGGAGCGAACACAGTATACAGAGGGCGGAATTTCCCAACGAAATATGTACAAATAGCTTAGACACATGATTTTCCAAAACATTGATTTTTGAGAAATTTCAAAACAATTTGAAAAACTTAACATTTTACACCAAAGCTAGGTAAATGACAATTTGGGAACACACTCACAAATAATGGTTAAAAGTTCATGAGAATTTTCCAAAAAGTTTGAAACTTTCGAAGGCGTTTGGAAATTTTTAAAAAATATTTTTTGCACTGACGATGTAAGTCCTGATTCTCCTAGCCTGGCGGAGGCCACCATTAAACCCCGACCTTCGCCCACGGCGCTGCCTTCCTCGTCACAACGCGAGTAATACGGGCCCATATTGCTGCACGGAGGAGGATGGTTGTGCAAACGTCCGACGTGCTCACTCAGCGCGCACTCGCTCACTCCCCGGCCTCGGCAGCCACTTCCCGAGCAAACATGACGGCCCCTCGGCCCCCAACCAAGTCTTGCTGCGACTTGCACCAGACCTCTGCTGCTGCGAAAATGATGAAAATGTCACGTTCGTCCCGGGCGCTATAGAAAACGTCCTGGCCGTTTTCACGGTGCTAACTTTGTGTATCGCCCACTTTTTTCCTTTACTTCTCAGAACGCCATGGCGTTTGCGTGAATTAAATACCGTATATTTTCGAGCATGAAAATGGCAAACGACCCCCGAATGTCGTTTGCTCTATGACAGCGCCTGCGTATTGCCCCTTGGAGCAGACGAAGTGGCCGCGGGAGCCTAGCCATACAGAACCCATACCACGTCCCTTATTTCTTCCCAAGTGCATCCCCCATAGGCCGCGCCCGCCCCTAACTACTTGCGAGGGGCCGGCGGGTGGCAGGCGCGCTGGTTTGTGCGGCTTAGCGTGGCTGCGGTTGGATAGGGTGGCCCGGGGGGGGTGAAGGGCGGCGGGCATAACACCATGGCAACACTACTGCCTTGCTGATCAAAGTTTGTCCTGAGCGCGGTGCAGCGAGAGGAGCGCGGCTCTGGGTGCGGGCCAGTCGCGCGGAGGCGGCAGATAAACCCCCCCTCCGCGTGGGCGTGCGGCGCGACGATAGAGACTGAGGAGGACGAGGACGCTAACTCTCGCGCAAACACAGAATCGTCCCGTTTCGTGAGAATGTCTTTTTCTTTAAGACGCTGCCCATGGCCCCTATCACGTTGCACTCCCCTCTCTCAAGTTCGTGTGCGGGGTCAGGCTGGGGTAGAGCATACGGCTTCATCATCATCATCATCACCGGTGTTTCATAAGCCGCAGCCGTCTGTTTACCCAACTCCAAATTACACACGAGAGCAAGGCGCTGGCGGACGCAGCGCGTCTTTGGAGGGTCGTGTGACGCGGGGAGGTGTGGGCGGCACAGTGGGCGGCACACCTGCTTGCGCTGCACGGGCTCCTCGTTCTCACAGAGGCAGGACGGTCTAATTGGAAGAGAATTTGAAACTTGTCGTGTATGTTGAAGATTTTAGTTTAATGGGGACAGGTGTTTGAGAGACCCGAAATATAGTTTTAACTTTAACATTAAATGATTATAATATAGCTTGCAAAGATTCGTTAGTTATTGATTGTGAAGGAAATCGTTTAAAAAAATATAAAATCGGCCAAAATTGTTTTTGAACGGATTCAACAGTGAAGAGTTTAAACAAAAATAAACAAAAGTTTGCAAACTTAAAAAAACAAAAACAAAAACAAAAAAAAAAAAACAACAAGAAAAACGTCCGTGTGAGTATGAGTTGTGCTCTTGGTATATAGCATCACATGATGAGATCCTCTACCACAAGGTATTCGAAGGCGCTGCGTCAGGATTAGCTAATCATGGCTTCATTACTCTTTGCCCCATCTTCGCAGAAACGAAAGACCATTTTCCTCTCGCAGCTACCATCAGATGAATTGGTCCCGTGTCCATGGCAGGGCCTGGCCCGGACGGGGACCCGCCGGCACAAAGCAGGAGGAGCCAGGAGTACCACCACCAGCGAGGTCAGCGGGGCGGGGCTCGGAGAGAGGCTACCTCACCCCTATAGTATTCCCTCTTTTGCCATCGTGCCTTATTTCTCCTTTGTGATGCCCGGGGAGTGGAGAACACTTCCAGATAAAGATTGAAAAGGAAAGAGGATTGAGAAAGCGGCCGTGGAGGTAAGACAGGGAGCCCTCTCGGTCCACAGAGCTGGGAAGCAAAACAGAGCGCGTCGAGCAGACACCCTTCCACTTCGGCCCAGGTGGCTTATCGTGCACACTCACCACCTCCTTGACGTGTACGTCGTCCTGACCAGGCCGGCCGAAGGTGCTCCAGGGGACGTCCTCCCAGTTGGCGATGGGTGGTCCGCGCATACCGTGGGACTGCAGATGAGACTGCACGCCCATCCTCACGCCCGATCACTCACAAACACCTTGTCCGGTTTTATTTTTGTTTCGACTGGACGAACGCAAACACAAACCGACACACGCGCGCGCGCGACTGTATCTCCGCGGCGGCCCGACTGGAGTGCCGCCCAAAAGCAAATGAGGCTCGCGAGCGTCGCCCGGCTCGCAGAGATAAGGGCAGGCGCAGCTGTTGCTCGCCTCGCCCGCCCGCCCGCGCGCGGGTCAGTGGCACCGGGCGGTGACTTCTTTAAAACTATACTCCACGGTCTCCTTCGTGTCGCCTTTCTCACTCTCTCTATTGCACTCTCTCCGTCGCGCTCACTGTTTTAGATACGCCTCCAATAACACCTCGGGTTCTGCCGAGCGCCGCCAAGAGTGCCGCGGCAATATCCAAAAACAGAGTTCGAGTTAAAGGTTGGGTCGGACTTCTTATTGGGTTTCACGACGGCGGGAACTTTAAAGACGCAGAAAGTGACGCCCGCAGCAGAGCCCGAGGTGCGTGGACGACTCCGGTGACAGTGAGAGCTGGATTTCGGTTGTCGAGCTGCACGGAACGCTCCAGGGAAGGCGCAAAATGTAAATGCGCCAAAGTGCTAATTGCCTTTCGTTTATTTAATGTAAAATGACTCTATCAAGAATGAAATCAATAAAACTTGTCTTCCGACCAAAACCAACAGAAATCCAACTGACACAGCAGAGGGAGCAAAATATCAGTGCACGGATAAACGGACAGATAACACGTGACCGTAACACAAAACACACCTGTAAAACACACACACACACACTCAACAACGGACACAAGAGGGTTGGAGTGAGAGCGATTGCGGCACGAGTGAGATAGAGAGTAGGCGGTGCGCTCTGTTCGAGGGAGACGGCACGAGTGGCTGGGCCCGCGTTCACCGGGTAGCGCCGGCCAGCATCGGGGGAGCCGCTCGGCGCCGGTCGGCTCCCGGCTCGGCTCGCCTTCGGGGGGTGCGGCGGTGGCGGCTCGGCCCGGCTCAGAGCGGGATCACGGCGTGACGTCACCGATGGATCGTACGAGGAGATCCGCCGGGATTTCGTTATTTCCGCCCACTTTCTATTTATGTGAGAATGTACACAAAGCGGATTGCCGGAGCGGTGCGTTTGGGATATACAGTACAGGATAATATACAGATTGTAGAACGAG